AAGTTACTTTTCCAACGACGTATAAAACTTTAGTCTATATACTACTTATTACATTTATTACTCTCAAGTCTGTGTAGAGATTAATACTCAACACTCAGCATGAAAAATAAGATCCGGATTTTCAACTCAAGTGTGAAGTCAGTTCTACTATACGGATCAGAGACTTGGAGCTGTGCCGCATCACGAAGGCCAGTTCGAACAAACTACAGACCTTCATCAACACCTGTCTTCGTTCGATACTACTCAGGACCAGATGACCAGAAAAGATTAGCAGCAGTGATCTCTGGCAATGAAAGAATCAGCCCAGCAGGAACCAGTTGTGCGAGAAATATACAGGAAGAAATAGCAGTGGATTGGCAGTACCCTGAGAAAACAAGCCATCAAGTGACATCACACACCAGGCCATCGCTTGAGTGGAACCCAAATGGGAAGCAGCGAGTTAGTCGTCAGTGCAACAGTGACATGGAGGATGAGGTGATGTGAAGAGGAGATGAAGACATGTGAGCAGACGTGTGACCGGGTGAAAACGTTGGCGGAGAACCAAGCTCAATGGAGATGTGCGGCTGAAGCCCAATATCCCTCAAGGAACTAAAGGAGACAATATTAATAATAATAATACTGCATTCATCTGACAATGTATATAAATCCTGGATTCTGCTTCTAACTATTATTACCAATCATTCTCTGCGTTCTGAGTGTAACACAGCGATTCAGCAGCACACCTTGATTCCACTATGTTATCTGCCACCATTTTTGAGTTGCTCCACTACTGGGTGCTAAGAGACAGTGACGGTCGGAGACGATTGGTGGACACCGCTCGAAATTGTTCTCAATGGTGGCGTAGATGTATTCATTCTTTGTGACCCCCAGTATCTTTTAAAACCCTGTTGTTTTCCCATGTTACTATTCTGTCTGCCTATTATCTCATTCCTCTGAATTTTTTTTCTGCCTCTTTTTGTGTTCCTTTACACGCTTCATGGCGTGTGGCAACTGGGACTGCTGCACATCTGTGCAAAGTACTACACTAAAACCAGTCAGTTAGTCAGACTTCACAACTTCCCACAAGTTTTCGTCTCCTCTTCATGTCATCTTCTCCAATGCACTGATAAATATTATTGGATGTTATGAAGAAGTATTAACATGCTAATATTGGCGTAACTATGTGTTGATTTTTATGTGAAAATATAAATCAATAAAGTTAGTTTTTACAAAGCACCAACAGCTGTACACATTTGTTTAACCATGTGTTTCTTGTTCCATTTGTTATATCTCCACTTCTCCACCTCCCCCAATCCCTCTTATTATACCACCTCACGCTTTGTACCATCTGGTGGATAATATTATCTAAGAGTTGCCTTGATTTGATAGACTGCTGCAACGAAATATCATCGATGTTAGGCACTGAAAAAGAATACGTCAGAGACTAGGCAAACCGATGGGTTTTAATCTTTGGCATGAGTGGTTTCCGACTACTGATAACGGTCAGTCAGTAGTATGTGTAACATGCCATTTTGTCTGCTTCATTGATTTCCATTTATTGTATCAAGCAGGCCACATGTTGTGTATTAAATACTCTCGGTTTCCAAAGATGACGTTGGACTGCGTGTAATTCGCTAAGGACAAGTGTGATATTCGGTATTAAAAGTTCGCTCAAGCATCTGGATCGGCTCTCTAAGCTAATTTAAACCAGTTACACCACTTATGACTACTGCTCAAAATCAACGAAACGAGCCCTTGGTGTTTTGTTCCGGTTAGTAAACACTGCTGTTTGACGTGAATGGTTTTTCGACCATTCAGTTTCAATCCATCAACCACTATTATATGTCATCAAGCTATTCCGATTGCTTTCTTGACTGCTACTTACAATGTCAGGCAGATCACAATTTGTGATCCGAATGACTTTGCTCATTTTAAAGGAAACAGTTAAGGAATTCCACTTCGAGCTGTGCAGTTGGGTAAAGAGGAGGAATTTGATTGGCTGGCCTTTTACTTGCTTAATTTGATCGTCAGTACCAGTTAAGTAAGCTTGCCTTATAAGACAGGCTTACAGGCCGTTCTAAAACAGTAGACTGTGAGTTAACCAGTATTCGGACATATTTTACGAGTTGATCACGGATTGATATGAATAAGAGAACCATTGGAAAACCTGGGAGTACTGGACAGCTGTTTCTTCCTAGTTTGGGACTCTTCATCAGTGCGCACCCGCCGGGATTCGAACCCAGGACCTTCTGGTTTACAAGACAAGCTCGTATACCATTAAGCCACTGGGACTCGATCCAATAGCCCATGAATTCTAACTTCTTCCATTTCACGACATAGTGTGAGATGCCGTGAACAGTAGGGTGCAGCAGGTCGAGTGTGAAGACAAATACTCGCCGAAGACATTGGCTAGTGGTCGCGCTATGTCACGAGTTGGCAGAAGTTAGAATTCATGGACCATTGGATTGGGTCCCAGTGGCTTAATGGTATACGAGCTCGTCTTGTAACCAGAAGGTCCTGTGTTCGAGCCCTGGCGGTGGGTGCGTACTGCTGAAGAGTCCCAAACTAGGACGAAACAGCTGTCCAGTACTCCCTGGCAGGTTTTCCAATGGTTCTCTAACTAATGTCAGCTCATGGCAAAAATCCTGTAACCAATCAAATCCCTACAAACCAACATTTGAATATCATGATTTTTAACTCTATAGGCACCAGCCATTGTCATTGGCGAGTATTTATGCGTGTATGTTATTCAGTTTTAACATTTGAACACTGATCATGTGATTGGTTATTCACATGAATTACTGTCTTTAACACAATTAAATTACTATACACGGAAATACACACATATTCTAATTACTTGAAGGTGATAGGAAAATCTCCTCTATGTTGCCGGATTCAAATCAGTATAACATGATATATGAAAACTTGAATGAGATTTACATTTCAATGACAAATAGTAAATGACTGGACACATTTAATCATATTCAAAATGATATTTGATATATAAGAAGGGAATTTGAGCAGCACTGTGGTGGAGAGTGTTAATCAGTAATAATTACTGGTGATGTCTCGAGTACAATATACAGCTCACAGACTCAAGTTCACTTGATGTCTGCGTGGTACTTAAGTGTGTATTTTGATTATTTTTCTTTAGTAAAATCCAATTCATTCTCCTGAAGAAACATTCAGGAAAAAATCTTGTTTTAGATTTCTAAAAATGCTAAAAATACTTTATTATTGCTATGATTGTTCCCTCTGGTTCCGAGTGGAACTTAATACTACAACAACACATATCCACTTTGTTCTATATTCTGCTGTCCTCTTTAACTGGCTACTCCCACGACTGTCAGTGGTCTCTAAACTTCTCCTCCTCCCCCCCCCTCGCACGATCTCCTCCTTGTCACCCTTGGACCCACACCCAGCTTGTCGTTTCCCATTCGGGTTCCATTCGAGTGATGGCCTGGCACATGATATCACTCGACAGTCTTCTTGGCGTGTGCCCAATCCATCCTCATTTCCTCTTACATACTTATTGAGCAACTGGTTTTTGGTTGGTTTGTTCCACTGAAGAGTTTCTTGTTACTATCTCTTCTTGGCCATTTCATTCTTAATATGAAGGCAGAGTAGGCAGCTGTTGATAAACGTCTGCAGCAGACTGTTAGAAATGCTGTTCGTGACGCGACCTCCAAGTTTCTGGTTCATACAGAAGAACTGACTGACTTCACATCTGTGTTGAAAATTCTAATTTTGTTCTATATGCAGTGGAGTGCAAAAGATTTGCAAACTGAATTTAGAGCAAGAACAACAGTTTTTGCAGAATAAAGTGGTACCATCATTGCTTATTTCGTTGGCTTCTCATCAGCTGCTTACAGACCAAAGTCATTATTGAAATACATCTACAGAAACAATTTAAAAAATGAACTCTGTGCAAGTATGTTATATATATATATATATTTAATGATGACTTTGGCCTGTAAGCAGCTGATGAAAAGCCAACGAAATAAATGATGGTACCATTTTATTCTGCAAAAACTGTTGTTCGTGGTATTAATATTCAAATTCATTCAGGGGAATAATTGTATGAATCCGGAGCGTTGACGTGTATTTTGCCTTTCCAATACTGCCTTTGACATCTTCATCCGTGGTATCTGCCTGTGGTTAGAACTATACTTCCTAGATAAGTGAAGGAAATAATGTCTGTCAAATCTCTCCTGTTGATGGTGATCGGTGTTTGTTGTTGTTGTTGTTGCTGGTTGGTTGGTTGGTTAGTGATTTTCACCCCCCTCCCAATCTTCTCTATGTTCATCAGGAGTACTGTCTTATTTGTCTGCTTCTTCAACCAGTTCGTTGATTTTCGCCTGCAGACCTTCGAGATTGTGTGATATTAGACATAAATCATCCATGCGCGAAATCCAGATCTTCTAGAGTCTCCTTATCAGTCCAGTGTGTTGTCGTCTTCTCACACCCAACGCACAGTCTGATGCATAATGCAGTCCACCTGAATTAGTGATATCATTGGTAATAGAAGTCATCCACGTAGTCTTACTCCTGTCTTCACTTGAAAAACTTCTCTGAGTTTTCCATCGTGGATCAGCTGACACTAGTCATTGTCAGATCCTGGCGATCTGACAAAGATTTGGATGACTGTACGCCAAAGTTTGAAAGTAGTTTCTAGCAATTTTTTCGATTAAATGAATGAGAGAAGTGCCTGTGGGTTGTATGAAATGCTGTTAGCCAATAGGCATTCGAAACTTCTTTCCCTCAAGTTTTACACTTACCAATATTCCTCTAAATAACCATATTACGGACCATTTTTGTGTGGATATTCGACTGTGAAATGAGTTTTATTCATCATCCGAGCGACTTATGGGTATGTTACTGAACTTCGTATCTATGTCAGAAACATGAATTACCATACCTTAAGGCCATAGTCAACTTCATATTGATTAACTTTCTACATAGTAACTAATTATTATTATCATTACTAAATGCTAATTTTAACGCTTTGTTTTACTTTTCAGATAATCAATAACAACGTTACATAACAATTAAGAAAAAAGCGCAAATAAATTGAATTATTAATCTCCTTAAATGATGACATCCAATACAACAATCCCCGGATTAGCATTTTATGATTCTCTTGTGAATAATGATATAACCGAATCGAAACGATTGGTAGAAATACATAAAATTGACTTGAATGCACGACTGAGTCATGTAAGTGTTATGTCATTATTTTTACGCAACTGATTTTATTTTATTTTCTGGTGGGGTTGGGGTAGGGGTTGTCTTCGTTTTCCACTGGTATATATATAAATATATAATTTGGATTCAGGAGAAACAAGTCATGTATTGGTCAAATCGCCACACTACGGACCACCATTGAACAAAGCTTGGAATGACAGTCACCTCTCTATCTCAACTTCATCGACTTTGAAAAAGCATCCGATGGTGTCGATCGATAGGTGATTTGGAAACTACTTCGCTACTACTGGGTGCCACCGACAATTATACATCTCATCCAACAGTTGTATGACAATGCTGCATGCCAAGTAATCCACAATGGGAAACTTACGGAATCCTTCGAAGTGAGGACAGGAGTAAAACAAGCTGGCTGGCTTCCTACTATCGCCAATAATTTTCCTGATTGCAGTAGATTGGATGATGTGACAAACAGCGGCGGGCAATGAGGAAACAGGCATAAAATGGACTCTCACAAAATACTTGGAGGATCTGGACTTCGCCGATGATATATGTCTGATTTCCCACAAACTAGAAGATATGCAAGTGAAAAGAAACAAGTTGGCGATAGAAGAAGCATCCAGAAAAGATACAACTTCAGGTGAACATAGAGAAAACAAAGGCGATGAAGATTCCTGGGCAACAACACCAACTGCAACAACAACAACTGACAACAATCAGCATAAATGGAAGGAACCTGAAGGAGACAACCTCTTTTACCTAACTACCTGGGAAGCATCGTTTCGACTACAGGCCAACGGAACTGACGAGGATATCAAAGCAAGAATCGGAGAAGCAAGACAAGCCTTCACTACTCTCAAGTCTGTGTGGAGGTCAACTGCACTCAGCATCAAAAATGAGATCCGGATTTTCAACTCCAATGTGAAGTCAGTGCTACTTGCTATACGGATCAGAGACAGACTTGGTGCGTCGTAAAGAGCATCTCAAACAAACTACATACCTTCATCAACATCTAGCTGTCTTCGCTCAATACTACTCAAGATCAGATGTTTGGCCAGAAAAGATCAGCAATAGGGGTCTCTGAGAGCGAACCAACCCAACAGGAACCGATTGTGAAGCAAATAGGCAGGATGAAATGGAGATGGATTGGCCATACTCTGAGGAAACCATCAAGTGACATCAATAGACAAGCCATTGCTTGAGTGGAACCCGAAAGGGAAGCGGGGAGTTGATCGTCAGTGCAAGGGTGACTTGGAGGAGGTCATGTGAAGAGGAGATGAAAGCGTGTGGGCAGACTTGGAGCCAGGTGAAGACTCTAGCAGAGAACCGAAGTCAATGGAGACGTTTGTCTGAAACCCTTTGTTTCTCTAGGAATTAAGGGAAATAATAATATAATTTATCAGACTGCCTTTAAAAATTCCTCCTCATGAGTTTCAAGTGGGCTGAAAACGCATCATCATCAGCCCAAAATCACTAATGATAGCTTTATTCCAACAAATGCGTTTATACAAAGTGTGGAGTTCTCGGGAAGTTCCTTAATGCACGGTGTTATTTCCTCCTTTTTATAAAATCTTCAAGTAAATATAATTAACAATAATATATTAACTGGAGTGACACTGTTTCATTCGAGGCATGTTCCAATCATCCTCAACGTTCCTCCTCCGCAATAGGCTGACACCTATTTGAAAATAAGCCTGAGTATACATTGCAGTTCTTACACATAATTGTATGATTAAAAGGATATGAGATAGAGTCAATCTGATGCATTTCGACGTAGTGACAATAAAGGTAGCCCGGGGATTTAAGGAGATTGCCAATTAAAAAAGGATGTGCAATTTCTCTATAGTTTTCTGTTGAATCCAAAACAATTCAGATCACAAAGTATTATCTGTTAGTGGTGTCCAAATTGTGAATAGAAAATCGACGCAGTGTATGTAATTGACTAGTATGAGCAGTTAAAAATCAGCTACACAAACCACTGTAGATCTTTTTCAAGGCTGAGGTGATCTAAACACTTGACTGTTCGCTGTTTGATTAGGTCGAAGCTGATATCTGGCAAGTTCTGTTGGTTGATTTAAATTGCGTATAACCACACCAGTTGTATAGTGCATTATGACAACAAACTTGATCTCTTTTATCATACGGCAAAGTTAAACTTTAAGCACCACTAACTACCAATCAGTGAATGACCTCGAACGCACCAATCACGTGAAGGAGGCATTTTTGTGTATGAAATACATATATTTATGAAAAGATGCATAAAAACTGTAGAAAAGTGTTACAGAGGATACCTTCCTCTCACATGTGATAAAAAAATAGCTCTCAGTTTTAAGTTGGAGTATCAACAGAGTACAATTCTATTGTGGGTAAAATTTATTCTGATAAAGTCTCATAGTGTAATACAGTAATATTTCCTGAGCAATAAATTGTTCTCGAAACGTAGTTATCAGTAAATGTCACTGTATATCACTGAGACTTTGTCGGAATACATTTTACCCACAATGGAATTATACTCTACCAATGTGCACAATTGTGTACTTAAGTACTATTCTTATATCAACAGAGTAATTTAACCACATTCTATGCGTGTAATTATTTAGGTATTCTAACCAAACCCTAACAATAACCCTAATCTTTCCTGAACCTAAACCTAACGTGAAAATATGTCTAAACTAACTGTAATTTAAATTGAACCAAACCTTCTGTCATCTTTATCAGGTTAACCTAACCCCAGCTTGTCCTTGGCTTAAAGAGTAACTTTATCTTTATCAAACCTAAGCTGAAAGCTACCAGAAATCCCACTTAATGGCATAATACTTCGATGAGCATATTTTATTGTTGATGACAACATTATTTGCCAGGTTTCACCGATTTGCTCAGTGAGCATTTCAAGGTCATTGGTGCGGTCGCCCTCCGTTGGTAGTTAGTGGTGCCTAAAGTTTAACTTGGAGTATCATACCAAGCACATTATATAATATTTGTCGCCTTGGGAAATGTAAATGAGCCTGTACACAAGATTCTGTATGAAATGAATACCAAATATGACCCATTTTCTTACAAGGCACTTCACTGGTAAGCTTCTATTATATGAAATTCATCTAGCCAGGTACAGTGTCAATGGCCCTCACTCCAAACAGTTGAAATAGTCACTCAGTAGTCAGTGGTAGCCTTTATCTAACTATTGGTTGGCTTTATCGGACGGTGCACATATATTTAGACCACTTAAATGAATAAATAGCATTCGTTTAAGTAATTTTTAGTAAATTGTGACCAGCAGTGGAATCCAGTGTGTGCGGATTTCGTCCTATTTAGGATGAACATTATCAATAAGTAAATTTTATTAATTAATCGAAAGACATTGATCCAAGCAGCATGCACAATGCAACTTTGATAAATGATTGGCAGATTCAACCAGCTAAATAGTTCCAGTCTTTTCCAGTTGTTATGCTCTGACTAAATTTGTCTAAATTCTCTTACTTGACTACTACTTGTTCGATACCTGCTGCTAGAATTTGTTCGACCTAGATTTCTAACTGAACCTCTTCCTTCCCAATTTCTTCTTTTGCACTTGATCGCTTGAGATTTTCTTTTCTTTTAGTATAATTTTGTTTTATAATTTCTCTGAAATTAAATTTTTCGCTATAGTTATAACTTAATTGAACATTGAATGCATATAGCTTACATGTTTTATTTTGTTCGAATGCTTTAATAGAATAATGTAATTGAATGGCCTTCATATCTCCTTTTTTTTAGTAATATTCACTTGACCTAACTAAGGTTATATAGTTATCTGAATTTTGATTGGTTAAACAGCGATAGTCGGGTAGTTAGGTAGTTAGTTAGTTAATCGATTTCTCATTTCAGTCCTAAAGATTTCCATAATAATAATAATAATAATAATAATAATAATAATAAGATTGATTTTAGGTTAGAAAATTTCACCTCTATCAACCTGAATATTATTATTAAATTATTTTTTTAATCTCTCACTAAATTACAGAGTGAAAATGTATGTAAATATAGGGGAAAAAAGACGAGTGTTTAGAAACACACAGAAAGCAAACTAGAAAAAAGGAATCATAGGATTAATGATATATATATATATATATACAGTTTATCAAAAATTATATGCGTAGAGTATTCCCCCCACCCCTACCAAAAAAACATTGTTTATATTAAAGCAATCGCAATATTGGAAAAAGCAAATGAATGTGAGTAGGCGCAGCTTCAATTACTCTGTAGGAAATCCTTCTTTTGTCAGTGCCTAGAGAAGGTGCTTTCGCAGTGTTAATGCGGTGACATCACTCAGTGTTATGCCGTGATACACTTAGTGATAACTGAGGATTTCCTCATGAGACTACTCTACCATTCTAATTATAATTCACATATTGACTTACTGGAAGATATTCAAGCGAAAAGCAACAAGTTGGAAGAAGAAGCATCCAGAGAAGATAGGACTTCAGGTGAACATAGAGAAAACAGAGTCTCTTTTCGGCGGCGAATTCATTTTCTTAGCTGTACAATCGCAAATTTATATGTGTTATTTTATATGTATGTGTACATTAAGTTTGTCAAGCAAAAATACAATTGGTTATAGTTATTTTAACTAAACAGGTGGATATTGGTAATTGGAGTCAGGTAATACAAAATCAGTCAAGAAAATTATCATTATATATTATTATTGTTTCCTTTAATCCCTAGAGGAACATAGGGCTTCAGCCACACGTCTCCATTGTGTTCGGTTCTCTGCTACAGCCCACATGCTTTCATCTCCTCTTCACATGACCTCCTCCAAGTCACCCTTGCAATGAAGACCAACTCGCCGCTTCCCTTTCGGGTTCCACTCGAGCAATGGCTTGTCTAGTGTTGTCACTTGATGGTTTGTTTCCTCAGAGAGTGGCCAATCCATCTCCATTTCTTCCTACCTATTCGTTTCACAATCGGTTCCTGGTTGGTTCGCTCTCAGAGATCTCTGTTGCTGATCTTTCCTGGCCATCTGATCTTGAGTAGTATAG